TGCCTGCTGACTGAACAGGGGGAAAAGAATCTATAATATATATCCAGAAAAGGATTTCAGTGCACTTAACGAAGATAAGTAAGTGAACCTTCCTATTGCCCTAGAGTGTCAGTGGCAGATAAAAAGCTTGACAGAAGCCTGTCAAACAGCAACAGGGGAATACTTTTTTGTATATCTGCTGTGTGCCACCATCAATACAACTGATTATTTTCTTCATTTCTAAAAAACAAAGGATATCAGGATCACTTGTTTGTTTTTTTTTTTTAACAGTCTTACCTGCCAAGAGAAGGCCTTAAAAGAAATCTGTAGTGACATACCAAAACTGTATTTTTCAGGTTAGCCACCTGAGTGAGGCAGCTGATTCAACCTATGCTGAATCATAGAATGCTTTGGGATGGAAAGGACCTTTAAAGGCCATCTAGTCCAACTCCCTGCAATAGGCAGGGACATCTTCAACTAGATCAGGTTGCTCAGAGCCCCATCCAGCCTGGCCTTGAATGTTTCTAGGGATGGGGCATCTACCACCTCTCTGGGTAACCCGTTCCAGTGTTTCACCACCCTCATCGTAAAAAATTTCTACCTTATATCTAGTCTGAATCTACTCTCTTTTGGTTTAAAAACATTACGCCTTGTCCTATCGCAACAGGCCCTATTAAAAAGTCTGTCCCCATCTTTCGTATCAGCCCCCCTCAGGTACTGGAAGGCCACAATAAGGTCTCCCCGCAGCCTTCTCTTCTTGAGGCTGAACAACCCCAGCTCTCTCAGCCTGTCCTCACAGGGGAGGTGTTCCAGCCCTCTGATCATTTTTGTGGCCTCCCCTGGCCCCGCTCCAACAGGTCCATGTCCTTCCTGTGCGGAGGACCCCGGAGCTGGACGCAGCACTCCAGGTGGGGTCTCACCAGAGCAGAGGAGAGGGGCAGAATCACCTCCCTCGACCTGCTGGCCACACTGCTCTTGATGCAGCTCCGGACACAGTTGGCTTTCTGGGCTCTGAGCACACACTGCTGGCTCATGTCCAGCTTGTCATCCACCAGTACCCCCAAGTCCTTCTCGGCAGGGCTGCTCTCAATCCCTTCATCCCCCAGCCTGTATTGATACCAGGGATTGCCCCAACGCAGGTGCAGGACCTTGCACTTGGCCTTGTTGAACCTCCCGAGTTTCACATGGGCCCACTTCTCCAGCCAGTCCAGGTCCCTCTGGATGCCATCCTGTCCCTCAGGTGTGTCAACTGCACCACTCAGCTTGGTGTCGCCTGCAAACTTGCTGAGGGTGCGCTTGATCCCGCTGTCCGTGTCACTGATGAACATATTGAACAGTACTGGTCCCACTACGGACCCCTGAGGTTAACACCTGTAGTTAACATGAGTTTTTAAATTGTCTTCAGCGATTTTGAGATCAAAACTTAGGTGCACTGGGGATGACATTTGACAACATTTATTGTTTTCCAACACAATCAGATGCATCTGCGACTCAGCAAATTGTCAAATCTTACTGTAATGGTGTATAATATTCAGTAATTCACATTAGAGTGATTATCAGCTGGAAACTTAGGATGTTTTTGCTGATTTTTTATCTAATTTGTCAAGACCTACTAGATAATTCTTGCTTCCAGACAGGTGTTTATGTAGTAGAACGTAAAAGGTTTTTTTATAGTAATAATACTGACATTTTGGCATGACCCATGTAAAATGAGCTAAAGTATATCTCAGCTTTGGAAGTCTTCGTAAGCAACAAACTAATCTTCAGCAAGGTAAATACTCTGACAAAATTATCAAAAAACCCAACACCTCATATCATAATTCCTGACATGTCAGACTAAAGAAAACTGTATTAAGGCCATATAACTAATTCTTTTTAAAAAGCATATATTTTTTGCCTTGAAGGAGACTGTTTCAAATAACAGTTTAATTTTGAAGGAAATGAAAACCACCATGGAACAACCATTGTTTAAAACCTGTGCAGCTAAGTTGCCTACCATTTTTCCAAAAAGAGAGGAAAGTATTAATACCTGACAGCTCTTTTAAAATAACAAATTTCATTCTGAAGTGATTTTCTAGGCAAACTGAAATTCCAAATGTAATAAAATCAGGAGACTGCATTAGGAAAATGTAGTCAAGCTACTTAATAGAATTACTTTATAATAATAACTACAGCAGCACGTAAGAAAACAGCATTATTTTGATCATTGCTTTGGCATGATAATACAAATGAATTAATAAAATATATAGAAAAAAATCCCTTCTAATCTATGATTAAGCAACACAATCACTTGTTTAGGAAGAATATATTTTATGAGAAGTATTGTAATACATGTTGTAGTTACATGAAAGCAAAGCAACGGTGTAACTATTAAACTAAATGTATGTAACTAAATAAAAAGAAACATTTCACAGGATATGATATTTAAAGAGACATTTTGAGGATTTACAGCTGCTTACTAAGCAAACTGTGTAGATCTTCAGAACACAATTTTGGTATCATTCTAGACTGTAGACCATCCAGGTACACAAGTACATAACTCCCACTGTTTCCAATTAAATTTAAAACTTCAATAATTTAAAAAAAAATATTTAAAAGCTATATCAGGTAAATATTTATGTGTCATATAATTCAATTTTAATGCATTAAAACATACTGTATCAGCCTGAAATTTTTCTGATCTGCATAGCTAGAGGTTACAAATTAGCTTCTGGTTTACGGAATTCTATTACTTTATTCTGATAAAGTTTAGTAATCTCTTGCTTAATAAATCCATATTCTAGAAGTATCTCTTCTGTGTGTTCCCCTATAAAAGGATCTCTTTTCAATGATGGAACAGCAGGGGTCCTTGATAGATGAGGAGCAGGTCTAGGACTTATCTCTTCCTGATCATTTTTGATAAAAGATCTTCTTTCTTTGTTATGCTCATGTGAGGCAACACCATCAAAGGATAAAACAGGGGTCACACAGGCATCAGTATGATCAAATATGCTGCACCACTCAGCTTGTGTCTTCTGTGCAAATACGGACGCAAATTTTTTCTTCATTTTGGGCCAGTCAGAGAAACTCCACTGACTGGGAAGTCCATCTGAATCTAGCCCAAGACCTGAAAGGAGAAAAGCAAAGTTTTACGTAGTATAGCTTACATAAATTGAAGTGCTGCCCACAATGAAGTATGTTCCTTGAGAAGCTAATGTTTTGCAGGCAGTCCAACGCAGCAGAACATACTAACTAAAAGTCGCTTCAAACTTTATTATGGTATCTATGATTGAGGAGGAGGGAGCAGAAGAATAAAATGTTCTATTATTTGCAATTAGACTAAGCCGCATCAGCTATAACCTTTTACTAAGTATATATAATAAACAGTCATTTGTATAAACACTTCATAAGAGCAGCAGCTGCCTAGAGATAACATTTTGTCCTGAGAATATTTTCTGTAATAGGCACTGTATTCCCTACCTGGCAGCAGCAACACAAAAGTCTGCTGAATGAGTCTTGGACTACAGCAATATACTTATCATTTAGAAGCCAGTACATCTGCCAGAGCTAGACATTCAGGAGGCTGCAGTGTGTCCAGCGTGATTGGGTTATGTCTATGCCAGAGATGAGAAGATGGTGTGGATAGATATACCCAGATTCAACGTGCATGAGGCAGCCCAGCTGCAGGTGCCTGTGGATTAACTAACCTGCTTCTCGACTCCCTCACTCCAAACAGACTCCAGCAGCGTTTGCTGCTCTCCCCTCTTCCCAGGCTCCAACTCTCCACTGCTGCTCTTTTGGAAACGTGAAACCATAGCCCTTCCACTCACTAAACTGCTTAAGACCTCTGCTTCCCAGAAGATCGGTCGCATAGACCACCTAGGTACGCAATACACACGCTCTTTCTGAGACACAAGAGCAGAAGATGGACACATATGCTTTGTACTGAAAATTTCCTGAACTAGGCAAGTCTTAGGTCCTTCCCTTAACTAAGCACCACCTTTACATCTCTCCTGTGCAGCCAGTTTCCCATCTCTGTTTCTGTTCTCATGGATTCTGCTCTCTGCACTCCCTACCCTTCCACTCTCCTACTTCAAGGAGATCCAAGAACTGTTATGTAGGGTTTGTCTCAAAAAGGAGGTAAGAAACAAGAAAGAGAAAAGGCATTTAAAGCACGCTTTCAAAATTGAGATAGTACAAACAGAGGTACAAACAGACTCTACGACATCAAATAGAAATAACACGTGGTATATTGAAGGCTGTCCAAACAGTCACATCTTGAAATTCAGGAGCATGAACACAGCAGGAAAAATTCAGAAAAAGCAGGGATAAGAAACCACTTAATTTGAGAAATTAGAAAGGCTAGAGAACAACTATCATCATAATGCTCCACAAACAACAAAAAAAGGGAGCTGCTTAGAAAACAACAGCTCTGTGTAAAAGGCAGAGAAAATGTGGAGTTCTGCAAAGATTTTGAACATGCTTTCTTATATCTTTGGATATCTGGTATCAGATTGATGATTTCACTTGCAACTGTTAAGAGGCTTGGCTACTAGATGCCTGTTTGCAGGTAGAATTTACACAGAACTCCTCTAATCTTTATCTGTAGATAGGCAAAAAACACCCTTTCTGTATCTTCTATTTCTACAGCTTCCTTAGAAACATTGTTTCATAAGTATTTATTTGCTTATTAATTATGGTTTGGGTTCTAGCAGCCAGTCCAACATGAACAGAGCTCTACCATTACCCCATTACACAATTATATTTGAAGATCATGCCAGATGGAAAGCTGGCTGAACCTAACCGTACATGCTCTAGCAAAATAGAACAATATGCAGAACCTGGAATTTAATATTACATGCTCATTTTCCATTGACCACTGAAGACTTCAACTTTAAATAGCACGAACCGACAGCATTTAAACACTACAGCTTCTCATTTTCCAGCTTGTGCTAACCACTTGTGGTGCAGACAAACAGAATCACAGCAGGAGCGACTGAGTCAACAAGGAAACAATTACACAGCACAGAATTGTTTGGGATACCACAGGATGACAGATTTCACCCAACATAATCAAAAGCAAAGTATCTTTTGCACAGAATACCTGGTAAAGCAATCACAACCTGTTTCCAAGTTTTTTTGTTCAAATTTTCACCTAGGGATTTTTGTTTAGAAAAGCCCAGTAACCTACCCCAGTACAGACTTCAAACAATGATTTTTGAAAAATGAAAAATTAAGCCTCCTTATAATGATATAGCTTTAAGTCTCCTTTAAATGCTATAGCTCTGTTGACATATATCTGCACGTCCTTTATTAATGCAACAAATTGAAATCTCTATTTCTACAGAACTTCTTGGACAAACTGCAGTAAAATTAGGCACCTATTTCAAGAGAGAGAAAACAGTAAAATTCATTAGATAAATCAGCGAAGTTGCTTTAGTATGTTGGAAATGGTTTCTTACAGTATTTCAGCCATACTATTTTAAAAGACTACTGAGGATCCCTAGCACAGCTTTGTTCAAGATTTTCTTGTTTTAACTTGCTGATTTTCTTTCCAAAATTGTATGCTCATAGCACAGTAATTCTGAAATTATATTGTCACAACATGACCGAACAGAACCATCTAGTATGGGAATCCTTAATTTTGGCCCAAACCACAGCCATAAGGTGTATGCCATTACTCTCTCTCTAATTCATTTTCATTCTGAGAGGGAATTAAACTTTAGAATATTCCAAGACAGTAGTGAATGTTCATTGAAGTTAACTATGTAAAGTTTTTTCTGTGCTCAAACTTCTGAAACTAAATCATTTTTTAGAAAGTGACAGTTCAGCAAAAGGTTCATCAGGCCCAGAGTACTACAAGAGCATCACTGCAAATGCATGCATAGCTGTCCTCCAAGTTTACGTATTTAATTACCACAACTGCAAATGTTTTGGTGCAGCAAGAACTTGGCCCTCTACAGTATCTGTACAATGTTTAAGGCTTACCATGATAAGTACATTCAAATAAAGTTTAACATTATGTGTAACTGAGGGTGTCTAAAAGGTAATGAGGAAACTGTTCATCCACTTTGCATGTCTTAATAATAATAATGTACTGAATTCAGTGTATTAGCAGATTTTTTTATACAGTATACAATACTTTACAATCACAAAATGGAGGGGCCTGCGGAAATCCTTCATAATGATGTAAACTATGTTTTTCAAGTGTTTCATAATTTTTCTCATTTTTAAATAGAAGTCACACAATGTACAATTATCAAAGTAGTATGAAAGGAGTACTATCAAATACATGTTGAGAACTTTAGTGACTGTTGGTGCTTTTCACATCAATGTAAGTTGACACTAAATTCACCTTATGTAACTGAGTGCACACCATATGACTAATGCAGAACCAAACCTTTACTCTCACCTGATATACAAAATTTACTGTGTTGTGCATGCCTCTTGCAGCACGGCTACAGCAATACTAAGCACATATTGCTAAAAATCAAGGGAAACCTGCAGAAGCAATTTACAGGTCAGCTGAAAGACATTCTGTCTCTTTCTGTCAAAATGTTGAGACTTAACATTAGTAGCACACGTTTCTTACATCAGATTTTTCATAAGATGCAAAGGCATTTTATTTATTGGCTGACTTTTGTAGTAATACAATTAACATAAGCAAAAGGATTACAGAATGTTTGTTAACAGCAAATAGTCTATAGTGAGCCCAGAATACAACTCCTAATATCACAGCTACTACAGCAAATATTTACCATCTGTTTTATATAGCTTCAGTTTCTCGTATAACCTTTTTTTAAAAAATTCATAAATTCATGGCAAGCAGAAATTTAATTTTCCTTGCCAAGCACAATCTACAAAGCCAACAATCTTCTCAAACTAAGATGCTGTATTTTCTTAAACTTAGCTTCCCTCTGCAGACCCCTTAAGAACTTTCCTCACCCTGTCATTAACTGCGCTCTGGTCCAGCACTGGGTTCCTAATTCTGCAGGGAAACACTGAAGTGAACCCAAACCAAAAGGAAATTAGTTTCACTTTGGCTAACCAGAATTCTGTGAGCAGTGACAAATGGTTCAGAAATCCTGTTCCTTTCTCAATTCTGCAATCTTAATATCTCCAACTCTTACATCTGCAACACTCATGTCCTTGTGTTCTCAGAGAGACATAGAGCGGCTTTTGAATATATTTTATCTGGAACAGCACCAAGTTGCTCACCAGCAGAACTGACCAGAATTATGGAAAAAAAGTATGAAATAAAATTATGGAAATTATAACTGGAACATACCATTTTAAAACTACTTCAAAGCAGGGAATTAATGCCTGGAACAGACAACTCAGTCTAAGTCAAAGCACCTTGGGTTTGTGAAAGAGCAATAAAATTCTCACAAGCAGCTTTTTCTTCCCTATAACACTCAAAGGCTTAAATTCTGAATTGAATGCCTGCAATAGATATCCCAGAAAGGAAAAAATCCCTAAGCCACAAGGAGGATCTGCTGTTTTAATTTAGTACACTATTGCTTCAGAGAGCTTGCAACCATAACTACTGAAGGGGATAAATATTTCCTATGTGAAAATCTGAACAATTCATAATATGCACCTAAAATACAATGAAGAAAGACCACTTATTTTTAAAAGCAATATTGTGAAAAAACCCTGAGTTCGGTCTGATATTTTAAACAACGCACTTTTACAAAATAAACAAAAAAAAATTATTGACTCTAAGCAAGCAAAGACTGTGATACAATTAAAGGCAAAAAGCAAAATTTCCTTAGAAGATTGTACTCTGTATGTAGGATTTTTAAAATATGACCAAAACAGACTGAAACACAGGCACAGCTGTGACTGCAGTTGTTGTCTACTTACAAACAGATACATCAGTTCTTTATTGCTGGAATAACTATTTTTGAAACTTCAGCTGTTAAAATCAAGCCATTTCTGTGCATTGTAAGCACAAGGAATACTTTCAAACTTGAAAATAAAGTTGTCCAATGTGGGTCTCCCAGTATAGGCAGATGAATTCATAGCTGCTGCTTCAACTTTATGCTCTGAATTTCTGAGAAACAACTAAGAGGAAAAGAGATAATTTTAACATTTTCCTCAGTAAAGAGTTATCTAAGTAAGACA